AGCGAGAGCGTAATTAAGGATAATTGTTCTGCACTTGGCCCATTCATGACTAACATCTGAGCCAGTATAGTCACATTTTCTTTGTTTTGGTCATTTTTAAGCAGCTTTTCTGTGTTTTACTTAAATAAATGGCAACATATGCCTTGCTGTACAGTTAAAAGTTATAAAATTGATAAAAAATAGGGACACCAGGGACATTTCTTGTATAAAACTGGGACAAATCACTTCTATTTTTATTGCGCTCTCTGTCACCTTGTACAAAGCTAGTTTAGAGTCGAGTATATAGATTTTATTCACTGTTTCACACCGTGGGAAAACCTAAAATGCTAATTGTTTACATTGTAGTAGCTAGACGTGCCTCATTTTTTTCTCTACCGCCACTTTGCATTGATGGCTATGCAAATTGTTAACAAAACAATACATATATTTTTTGCAAACAGGTTAAGGTTAGAATTATGTCAGAATCTGCAACTCTGCCGGTTTGTTATGGTTGGTAATAGTAAGACTGTTAAACGAGAGCATCATCCGTAACATCTGAATCAGTATAGTCACATTTTCTTTGTGTTTTGGTAATTTTTAAGCAGCTTTTCTGTATTTTACTTAAATAAATGACAACGTATGCCTTGCTGTACTGTTAAAAGTTATAAAATTGGTCAAAAATAGGGACACCAGGGACATTTCTTGTATAAAACTGGGACAAATCACTTCTATTTATTGCACTCTCTGTCACCTTGTACAAAGCTAGTTTAGAGTCGAGTATATAGATTTTATTCACCGTTTCACACCGTGGGAAAACCTAAAATGCAAACTGTGCCTAATTTTTTCTCTACCGCCACTTAGCATTGATGGCTTTGTTAACAATATATGTATATATATTTTGCAAACAGTAAAGGTTAGAATTATGTCAAAATCTGCAACTCCGCCGGTTTGTTGTGGTTGGTAATAATAAAACTGTGAAACGAGAGCGTGATTAAAGATAATTGTTCTGCAGTCGGCCCATTCATAACGAACATCTGAGCCAGTATAGTCACATTTTCTTTGTGTTTTGGTCATTTTTAAGCAGCTTTTTTGTATTTTCCTTAAATAAATGACAATGTATGCCTTGCTGTACTGTTAAAAGGTATACAGTTGGTCAAAAATAGGGACATTTGGGACATTTCTTGTATAATACGGGGACAAATCTCTGAGGAAAATGACGGGAAACGTTACTGCACAGTGCAGTTTTTGCTTTGTTTTTTGTGCTTACACGCATAAATCTTAGCTATTATAAAAGCCCTGTATACTATTTTTCTCCATGTATTTGAGCAAAAGTGTCAGATATATTTTATAAATAGCTCTTGAAGTAAAAATATATCCTCTACATTTTATTCTACGATAATCAGGGAGTGCACTCTGGTCTCTGAAAGATGTGAAAAGTTTATTTAATCTTATTGCGAGAAATAATTAGGTTTCTCGGAACGCATAGGCTAAGTGAGGAATATCTTTGGACCACTGCAAACCATTTAAAATGAACTAGTTGTGGTTTTTCACTGCTTTTAAGAACCGTCACTCTGAAATAATAAAATAATACCACGACTCAATACTTCTATGCAAATGATATCTTGCTAGTTTTGCAGTGGAAGCATAGTAGCGGAGTTTACGGCCCTCACATCCGCCAAGTATTTACGTCTCGCCATTTGCATCTGATGTCTCTGCAATTATCATTTTACTACCAGTTTTATTTTATAAGAACTTGTATGAGGAGCCGTGGTGTTGTAATTTGTGCGTTAAGTCCAGGACGCCGCTTGCACATTAAAATACATATAAAAATTGCTCGGGGAAGTGAGCGCAAATACTGTATGTCTCTATCGTAAATCAGAGCAAAGTCACTAATGGGATCGTGCCCTCATTGAGACCAACTTTACAGCCAGGGCCCCAGACACTAAATCAGGAGCAGTAAATATTCTCGAGGAGTGCATGAATCTCAGGACGGAGGATGGGATAACAGCTCGGCCCATAAAACGCAGCAGGTCCAACATGGTGAGATAAGAGTCGGAGTATTGTAGTATGGCGTGTGCTGTTTGGGGAACGGGAGTGTAAATGGTCTCTGGGTGCTGCACATTAGGAATCCCATACTTTGTAAACGTAAACTATGGCTACGTTTTATGATGACGGTTTGAACAGAAGCAACAAAAGTGGCATCACGGCTTCAGTTTTTATTCCGCATTTCGACGAGCGTGCTTACGGTGAGGCAAAAGTGTGTGGAATTCGGTTGGGTTTGCATGCCAGGCGGCTCGGTGGCGACTCTAGGTGGTGATGTATGTGACGTAAACGTGTACGCGACGCGAGCAGATCTGACCAGAGTTTTGCGTCATGGGCAGTGTAGACGGAAACGCTACGGCAGAGCGTATTCAACATTTCCACTCTGGACGGTGGTTTCAGATTTTTGCGTAAACGAAAGGCACTTCAGATTTTACCCGCAAGCATTCTCAAGTAAACAGGCCCTATATGTTACAGTGTCGTAATAGTAAATAATCTGTGTATCATTCGTTCATTAGTTTTTCAAAATAAAACCAAAAATAAGGGTGAAAAAAGTTTTTTTTTTTTTCTTTTTTCATAATTTATCTATATCTATATTTATTTAGTTTTTATTTTTTTATTTTGTATTTAAATGGATAATCGTTTCCGTGACTTAAAGTGCAGTTTGAACCAGGATTAAAACAGGACTAAAACAGGACTAAACCAGTACTAAGGACTTAGACCAGGACTGAGACCAGTTTAATCCTGGTTTAATCCTGCTTTAGACCTTTTTAATCCTGTTTAATTCCTGTTTTAGTCCAGCATCACAGTTTAAGTCACGGAAATGGATTACACGTTTTTCCATTACTCATTTAAACACAAAATTGAAAACTGAAAAAAGACTCATCATCCATTTTTTCATTTTGGTTTTGGAGACAAATAATGAAGAAAATTGTTTGTTTTTTTGTTTTTTTATTTTTGGTTTTTTGAAAAAACAAATGAACGAATGATACACGGATTTTAAATCTCAGCTGTTACTAACAAGTACTAGTTTTATTTTGCTCAAAAATCGGCTCAGTATATAAGTTGCAGTCAGTGCAAATGTGGCGGTTTAAAACAAGATCAAGTAGGTGTTTCGTTTGAGAAGTATTATTGTTTTGTTTTGTTTAAATCTGCTTTTATTTGTCTTCTTTTCACCTGAGTCTGCGTTCTGTCTTGTCCAATCATCTCACTTTATTCCTTCTTATAACTGAAGAGATCTGAGCCAATAGAAGCTGGATCCTTCTGGGAGTTACGCCCAGGTTTCACTTTACACTATCACTATCAGACTGTATTATTTCAAAGATTTTCATTTGGTCTTCCATTATTATATCCAAATACTTCTTTTTTTTTTTTTTTTTTTTGATAGACCACTGTGCTGTTTACAGATACGTTGAAATTTTTCTGATGCCTTCTGCATTCATCGCGTGAAGGTAAATTTAAACAATTTGACCATCTCAATCCAAATCAAACCAGTGGAAAATAGACATTACACAAATCTAATGGCACTTATTCCTGGATTTCAGGCATGCACTGCAGAAACTAATCTAGATTAGTTAAAATTACTTAAATTAAGAACATTTGACTTTATTTGAGTAGATTCAATCTTGAATCTTGAAATTATCTCCCAGTGGAATGAATGTATTTTTCTTAATTCAAGCTACATTTGAAGATTTCTCTATAATTTTATTTCATGTCAAACGTCAACGCGTTTCGACTTGTGTTGAAATGCGTTGGCGTTTGACATGAAATAAAATCATAACAAAGTATATCTGAGTGCCTCAGATCTCCTTTTTCATTCAGTAAGTTATTTGCCCACTTGGGATCTCCGAAGAGCACCTGATCATTATTATTATTTCACTTCAATCGTGACCCAGCGAGCGTTCTAACTACTATATACTTCAGAGCAACATTAGATTCAGTTTCTTATTTTTTAGGTCAAAGAGCTATTTTGTGTAGTGTAGCAAGTTGTATTTTTATATTTTAAGTAGAGAAAGTCTTGTTCCATTGGTAGATAATTTTATTTGTCAAGTGAAATTTACTCAAGTCATCTTAACTTGGCTAGATTTAATTTAATTTTTATTTTTTAAGGATTCCTTCCTGATCTGAATGGAGAACGGCTCTCACTAAATAATTTAAATTCATTTACTTGAAACACATGAATAGGGCCTGCTTTGTTGGTGAAGCCTAAATGGCAGAACCGCAATGTCATGATTTTTCTTTACATTTGTACAGCTCTTGTCTTCCTAAATATTCCTGATAGTTTTCCCTGGTGGTAATGGTTGAAGAATGGGTCAAATGCAGCTCGGCTTAACCTAAAACTTGTTCATATTCATTTTATCTCCAACTATTTATACCTGCTGTGAAGCTAAGCTAAACCTCCACAGTGAAGGCTCGTCTTCTCCCAGATTTCATATGAAAATATAATATAATATATTTCCAGAAGCATATTGCCCAGACTGGTCTTTGTTTACCTTGTTCTCACTGGAGTCGTGCAGGACTTATGACTGTCTGGGAAAGCAGCTGTGTGTGCTCACTGCATCGGGAAGAACCAGGAAGGAGCAGGGCCAACAAAACTAAAAGCTCTCATCGTTACAAAACTTTGAAAAGATCTTGCATTTTTATTCTTTATTTCTTCATACGGATAGTTTAAAAAAAGGGAAAAGAAAGTTAAAAAAAAAAACTAAATAAGAAAACAAAATCATTTAAAAGTGCATTTATCTGGGGCAGACCTCTTCGTTTGGTTTCAGTTTCGAGATGGGCGTTAAAAATTAAAGAATAAAAACGCAAAAAGAAATATCAAAAGACTGAGAGGAGGTGGAGTTTGTCAGCTACCTTGGAACTGATGGCAGATTGTAGTTTGAGTAAAGCAAACAGAATAGAACGAGGTAACGGAAAACCCAGGGCAAACCAAAGTATAAGACAATTAGAATGATATCTACCATATAATGCAGTTTGTTTACCATAGCGTGTCCAATGCCTGCGTGCTTTAGGAGGAAAGGGGGAGGGGGGAAAGAAAAAAATATATAAAGATAAAATTTTAACTCAAAATTAATGAGAACCTCCCAGAAAATCGGGGAAGAATTTCGGAAAAAAAATAAATGAAATCGTATAGCTCAAATTGAAGTATCGTTTGAGCATCCAAATAAAGAAATAAAGAAAGCAATTTTCGTTTTTGAAGGGTCCTCTATAAGAAAAGGGAAATCAAAAGGATAACACATTGGTTAGTGGGTAAGTCGCAAAGTTAATTCAAAGATGGCGAACATTCCGGTGATGACGTTGTGTTAGTTGTTGAAATCATAAAAGAAGGGAACGGAAACCACCAATGAAAACGAATCAGATCGGATAAGTTCGGAAGCATTGTTAGTACAAGAGACAAGAGTTAGCAAAATCAACTTCCACAAAGGAGTAAGGGGTACTTTAAGGGGGTGCAAGAAGTCTTTTTGGTCTTTGTAATTCAGCCAATTTCCATGTAATAAGTAGGAGTTGATTTCTAGTCAAACTGGACCATAATTTGGGGCCCAAAGTTGTCAGAAGTTTTCATTTGCGAAAGGATTTTTTTTTAATAGCACAGCCTTGGAATAATCACAGTTGAAAACACACAAAGCTAAACCTTGATGAAGAATTGGAATTAGAGCAGTTACTTGAGGACAAAATTGAAAGAAATGCATTTAAAAACAACACATCAGTATATCTTTTGTAAACACAGCACTTCTAATAATTGTACCTGCAAAAGAAACAGTGCTCAAAACATTTCGATGGAGCGTTAACAACAAGTGTGAAGAAAGATGACAAGCAATTAATTAATAATACGTTCAGTGTAGTGTGGTGTCAAAATGTCTATAAAGCTCATTTTGACCCAATTCACATCACATAATTCAACGATTTCCCTTTATTCTTACAGTTCCTATAGATATTAACCCAAAATCATTCACTCTGAAATAGGTAATGGGGTTGAACAAGTCATACAGGCACAGGAAGACGTTTGGAAACATGCGACAACAACTTCCGGTGTAGTTCCCGACACTGGACTCGCTGACCGACTGTGATAAAACCCACTCAAGTAAATGTGATCAGCGGTAAAATGAAGACTGCGTACGTATGTGCTGTTTGGAATCATCTCTTCTAATCTTTTCTAATACCCAGTTCGTTTGGAGTTGGAAAATGAATGATGAAAACTGAGGTACGGTTGGAATTGGTTGAAATTGTTGATTCGCCGAATGACACGGAGATGAAGAAAACTGGGACATTTTTGAATTTTCAGCTAGGTTTTTTCAGACTTACTACCACGAACAGAGCCCACATGTTTCCAAACGTCTTCCTGGTTTGTGACATAACCATGAATCAAGCCTATAAAAGGAACTGTATGCACGATGTTGAGTCTCAAGACTAATCCAGAAGATCCAATCAGAAAGTAGAATGAGTATCACACATGTCTCTCATTTGGGTTGCCAGTTTCGATACATTGGTTTAATCCAAAAATACCTCTCTCTGATCTGAATGGTCACTGCCTAAACTCCAGCTCCTGTAACCAAACATGAATCAGTGCAGCTCAGGGAGTCAAACCTGGCAACCCTGCTTCAGTTGTGATTGTACTACATTATTTAAAACAGTAAGACATATAGTTCCTTTAAGCTATAAGATGTTACAATAGAAGAACACCACCAAAGACATTTTTTTTAAACCACAGATAAGCTTAAGGGGGCACTGTGTAACTTTTTGGTTGGGGGTCTGTCACCTGCTTGTTTCTATGGAGATGTATTAGGTATTGCTCTGCCTGGAATGTCATTAAACTAGCCTGATAGTCATCAGCCGGTTTCACTTCGTGGAAACTGACCTCGCAGCATAAGGATTCGTTCACTCGACAGTAGGCAAGTACTTTTTTATTTAACCAGTTGCTGCTATTTGGTCGTAATAATAATAATGTCTTTCCCCTTGATAAAATTCACCAAACATTGTATTTGTTCGGGCTTTAAATCGTCAATCGTTGCAAACACAGAATGTCTGTCTTCGTCTACATCCATCTCGACCACTTTTTTCTGTTGTGCTGTACCACAAACAGGATCCAGACAGGCAGAACGAGCTTGTCGTAATGGCTTCACAGCTCTTTGCTGATTGGCCGGTGCGGGGTCTAACAACTTTCGGAATTCTTGCAAAACGTCTAGTGTATTCCGATTCCTGACCTCGTCGCTGGAGACAAATGAAACTGAGTGGAGGCACCTTTACATTGATACAATTAGAGGTGGTTTTATAGCTCAAAAATACCTCGAAAAACTCTTGAGCGTGATCGCCTCTCCACAGATCTGACCTGTAACTTGGCCTGGTTTGGTCTCTATGAAGATAGAAAGGTTTTAACGCTGTACTGTGAAACATTCCAGACAAAGCAATAACATCCCCATGAAGAAAAACATCTGACAGAGCCTCCACCAGAAAAAGTTACACAACGCAGCTTTAAACGTTAGACTGAAAGAAAAATAAGGTTAAGAATTATAACAAGACATAACAAAGCAGCTTGCATTTCCTTCCATACGCAGACAGAGCATTTTAAATTACACTTTTTATCAAATCCTGTCAAAAAAAAAAAGGGTTATATTTTCGCTTCTTCTTCCAATTGAAACATCCTCCTGGAAAAGAAACAAACCACGCTCGATTCAGTCATTACAAACATTTTTAGCCGCACGCTCAGATGCCCTGGAGACACGAGAATCTAATTTAAGTCCAGAGATACGGCCAGCATCACGCGTGTCCCTGTCAATTCAATTCACCACAACATTGACTCACTGCTTCTCCATAGCCTCGAACATACATTTAATAAGAACGCAATGTTAATTTACTCAAGATTTGATTTTTTTCCCCCCCATCTGGGTATGTTTTCTCGTGGCTATTTTGGTCGCATTAAGGGTCGGCCGGCGGCACACGGTGACAGGAGTGAGATTAAATCCGGAGACGTGTCCTGAGTATTCCCCCGAGGACGTGTGGACATCTAGAGGACATCTAATATCTCCATTGGAAAAGGGATCAGGTTCTGTATGCAGCGCGGGTTTGACTTAGAAATATGGACAAACTGACAAACGGGTATTATTGGTCGGTGTAAAACTGCGTGTCGACAAATGTAGGTATCTGCAGATGTGATTCTAAAGGAAAAAAAAAATAAATAGTTGAAGTAAATTGAAAAAAAAAATGATTAAATTTGATGTTTTGAATGCTATAGGTATACACAATCTCCATCTATGCCACCATAAATAAATAAAAATAAATAAATAAATACAAAAAAACAATAACACGGAGTTGTGATTCTTAAAAAAAAAAAAAAAATTTTTTATAGGTATATCCAATCTTCAATAAAAAAAAATAATAATAATAATAAAAATGAAAATAATAATAATAATAATAAATTAATAAAATAAAAATAAACAATACCCCCAAAACAATAACATGGAGTTGTGATTTGAAAAAAAATTAAAATAAAGTAAATTGAAATGACGCAAAATGTTTTGAATGTTATATTCATACGCAATATTTTTGAGTGTGTATCAGAATTATCACAATTACATAATCTGCATAGCTTGACTGATTAATAGATAAATACATAAATTAATAAATACATACATTGCAAAAATAGTAACAATTGTTATAGTAATAAACAGTAAAAAGTATATAGTTAAAATACTAGGGTAAAAATCCATGTTTCATATATGGCATTTTAGAACATACATTTGAATCTGCATTAAATATATTTTTTTATTTACTTTTTATTTATTTTTTTTTTTGAGGGGGGGGGGGCTATGCAATTACAACTGTAAATACTTTTTTTTTTTTTTTACTATATACATTTTGGGGGACCTATTAATAGCATATATTGTATTGAAATGTATCTGCACTACTGATCAAAAGTTTCAGACCACCACACTTTTTTCCAGTTTTTTACTTTATTCTGTTAACCAAAATGTATTCTAAACTTTTGATTCATGAAAGTGTCCACCTTTGGCAGATGTAACAGTTGAACACACTCATGGCTCGTTCTTTTTACAACAGAAATCAAATATTGTTCAGAAAGTTCTTCCCAAGTCTGTTGCAGAAGTTTCCATAAATGTGTGGCACTTGTAGGTTGCTTCACTCTTCTGTCCAGTTCATCCCAAACCAGCTCGATGGGGTTTTTAAGTCTGGACACTGTGCTGCTGGACGCTCCATGTTTTTTTACCAGCTTTTTTTCCATCTTTTTTTTTTTTCTTGTTTTGGCAGAGCTGTTTTGTATGTTTTATCTTTTTTTTTTAACCTCTGTCTGTTCAGTTCTTACCTTTGTACATTTTCAAACTCTTCATTGGACTTTGCACGACTTGACTTGCAATAAATAACTGGAAAAATTAGGGTGTTCTGTGTATTGGTGTATTTTCTTCACAGGTTGTATGACACATTTACGTGGTGAGGTGATTTGTTAGTACATATTATAAAGGTTTATTTTTGAATGCGCTCTTACTTTATATTTGTTATTTCTATAGTATACTGCACAAGGGAGTCTATAGAAGTGCCAATTAGGACGTTCTGTTGTTCATGTGGGAGTCAAGGTGCATACAACAACAAAGAAAGTATGCTAATGGGGAAATACATGTACTGGCGTTTCCTCCATCTAATAATTAGATTTACAGAAGAACTGGAGTTAGGATTCGTGTTTTGTTCTATTCCAGGTTTCAAATAACACACAGGATTTTTCTAGTCAGTTACACCCAAATCAAAAGTGACATTGACCATTGCGATAATGAAGTGTTTTTTGAGTTATTGAAGATTTCTGAATTCATTTTTGTCTTATGTTTTGTTTTGTTTTGACATGCCGGCCTTGATGCTTGGTGGAAAATCAAAATGCAGATCACAAAATGGTAACTTAAATTATAAATGACTCCATAATGTGAGAAAAGTCTGGTAAGTGGACATGTGTTTAATTGCTTGGGTAAATATTTCATCAGAATATTTGTACATCTGTGAATTATAA